GCTGACAGGGCGAGTGGCTGGGCCAGGGCCGGCTCCCGGCAATGCCGCCCCAAGCAAAAAAAATAAAAAATAAAAATAAAAAAGGGGGGCCGGAGTGCCGCCTCTTAGAAAGTGCCGCCCCAAGCACATGCTTGGAGGGCTGGTGCCTAGAGCTGGCCCTGGTCACCAGCCACAATACTTTTCCGTCTTATCACTAGGAAAGCAAATACTCCTTGGGAAATATTAAACCTTGAATCCAAAACTAATTCTAAATGTCCTTTGCTCTTGTTTTTTTGGAATCCAGTATTGGGACATAAAATAGCTATGGCTGCAGAAAGACAATAGCCTATTATCTCCTTGCCTTTGTAGAGGTAGATACGCCTAGTGCAGAATGCCACCAAAAAATAGCTGGCTTGATTACTTCCATATTATCTAGAAGCTGTGCTGATTTACAGAATACTGACAATATATAGCTGTGTTCTTCATCACCCATAGTTCTCCAGTGTTGGCTGGTATGAATCTCTCCATATTTATATAGTCTGGATTTTAAATCTAGTTTAGTAAAGAGAGGGCTTTGTGAACACCCAGAAGCACAGTAGTCTCCAGATCTTAATAGATTCCATAATCATAAGCCATTAATGCACTTCTTATTTATCAGGTACCACCCTGTGGAACTGCCAATACAATACCACCTGAAGGTAAGCCTTAAAACCTACATCTCATTCCAAAGTGACTTTAAGAAGTGTTAAGAGATATTCTATAGGAAAATATTTGCAGTCAATTTTTAAGTATGGTAACATTTTTTTAAAAGCATTGGAAATAAACTAAAAGCTTTATTTAGAACTCTAGATTTTGTAAGTAACACTGTTTAAAAATGTCTGAACAACTTTTCCACTGTGTTAACTCCTAATTTTGTACATGTGAAGATGCTGCAGCAACTGCTGTTTCTCTAGCTTTAACAAGAAGAGAGGAAGGAATACTGAGATTAGTAGGTTTCTTGAGCTTTAGGAAAAGCACTCCAGAGGACTGAAAGCATAGTGAATGCAGCAGAACGCACACCTCTCTACTTTATGCAAAAAAAAAAAGTGAAAGGGGAAGATTTTACAGTAGTAGTGTAACATATATTCATTAATAGTGCGATGTATAAGTGAGCTGAAAAAAGAGGCTTGATTTCACACCCCCAGGAGCCAGAAGTAACAAAAACCAGACAAGTTGCCAGAAAAGCAATACTCCCTCTTGTCAGTTTCTAAAGCATTTGTTACTGTGTGACTGGTTCATTAAAGATACAAGCATATTCAATGAGGCAAAAGCATTTTTAAACTTGTAATTGGATATTCCTAGTAACATTAAATGGGTTCACTGATTGATGATGCCAGTACTGAAGCAGCTGTCACAACTATAAGCATTCTTTGGTCATCCATCTTTTTTTTTTTCTATATATGATGCTATAACATGTCTGTAATCTTAGAATCTTGAGGCTGCTAGCACCAATGCAGTCCTAGAGTAAGTCAGTTACTAAAACCTTTTCACAGATTGCCTTACTTCAGGAGTTGTGGGATCATAACTATGTAATAAAGAGAAATGCCTGAAATGAGCTGCCATCTTGAAGCCCCATCACCCCATAAAGGGATCCGTCTCCACAAAAAACTTTTTTGGGGTAATGCTCCCAACTCCATGGCTCAGGATTCATTGAAATCCTAAGAGCCCTTTTTGCACCATTGTCTAATCAGTGGGTAATCAAAATGGCTGCCTTGTTGCCAAGGAAAGTCTAGTGTAGTAATTAAGTTCTAAAGTAACAAGTATGAAGTTTGCTTAAGAAGGGGGAACACAGATTAAACTTTCTTGTTAACTAATGGCTTGGCTACACTTGCAGATGTAAAGCGCTGGGAGTTAAAACCAGCCTTCAGAGACATCAGCAGGGAAAACGCTGCCGTGTGTTTACACTGTCAGCTGCAAGCGCAGTGGCGTGGCCACATTAGCAGCTCTTGCAACGCCACAGTGCATTGTGGTAGCTATCCCAGCGTGCAACTGGCTGCAGTGTGCTTTTCAAATGCGGGGTGTGTGTGTGGAGTGTGACGGAGTGTATTGTGTGTATGTGGGGGGCGGAGAGTGTCAGCATGCTGTCTTGTAAGTTCAGATGGCAGCAGAGCCCCACCCCCATGCACAAAAGCCTCAGCAGCAGCAGCATTCCACAGTAATGGTTTGCTTTGTGTCCCGGAGCAGATAAGCATGCCGGCTGTCAGAAACGGAGCTTTGAAAGGGGATACTTGCATGTCTGCAGCCGAGTTCTAAACAATGACCAGAGTGGCCACCTGACTTCAGGGGATTATGGGACATTTCCGGAGGCCAATCACAGCGCAGTAATGCAACATGTCCTCCACACTGACACCCGGGGCGTTTCACCCAGGGTGCAGCAAGCTTTATGCTTCTTGTGGAGGTGGATTACCAGGAGTGCTCCAGCTGCAGAGTCCAGGAGCTCTAAGTGCTTTGCCTGTGTGGACACCTCAGGAGTTAGGGTGCCCGGGGCTGATTTAATGCTCTCTAACTTGCAAGTGTAGCCAAGCCCTTAGTTTGGAGAGAGTGCTAGTGTGATAAATGAAGTGGGGGTAGCTCCCTTTGATGGACAGCCAGCCAGCTAGCTGTGAAATTCATCTTGGTGGCTGTTCTTTACTTGCTTTACCTGTAAAGGGTTAAGAAGTCCCCCAGTAAAGAAAAAAAGTGGGCACCTGACCAAAAGAGCCAGTGGGAAGGCTAGAACTTTTTAAAATTGGGAAAGAAACTTTCCCTTTGTCTGTTGGTCTCTCTGGGCTGAAGAGACAGGGCAGCAGGAATACTGTGTAAAGTTTGAACCAGATATAAAAATCATCAGTTCATATCTAGAACTACTTTTAACAACCCAAATATGTAAGTAAATTAAAAATGTTTAGGAAGACGCAATTAGGTTTATTTCTGTTTATTTTTTTTTAAGGCTTGTGAACTTCTCTGTGCTAACCCAGATGCTTTTGTTTGCTTATAACCTTTAAGGTAACCCCCAAGAAAGCTATTTTGGGTGTTTAATTTAAGTTTCTTTCCCAATTTAAAAAAGTTCTAGCCTTCCCATTGGCTCTTTTGGTCAAGTGCCCACTTTTTTTCTTTACCTGGGGGACTTTTTAACCCTTTACAGGTAAAGCAAGTAGAGAACAGCTACCAAGAGGGATTTTACAGCTAACTGGCTGGCTGGGTGTCCATCAAAGGGAGCTGCTACCTCCTCTCTCACCCCCTCCCGCCTTTTCATTTATCACAGCTAGTCAGGAACTCTTCTGGAATTTTTAAGTATTTAATACTGCCCTAGAGCTTGTGCAGAATGCTTGATCTGCACTATTGTGTGAAAACATTAAAGTACAGTGACTGCAAACATCAGGGTGGCTTAGCTAATTTTAAGGCTGTATTGTTACTGTTCTAATTGCTTCTCTACTTAGCAATACTGATAAAATGCCAAAAAGAGTCTTGCTCCCATTCTAGTTAATAGCAAAGCTTCCACTGACTGCAGTGGGAGCAGAAGCAGTTCCAAAATCGCATTTGATAGTCCAGGGTTGAGGAAATTTAGTAAAGTTTGAAAGAATTGGTTGGTAAGTAACTCCTAATAGCCTCAGGCAGATAACACTGGGTCCACAAACTCTTCTGCAGAAATATTAATGGTCTGTGGAGTCCTGGAGAACTTGAACTAAATGTACAATGATAACTGAGTTTAAACCTTTTTTTTCTCCCCCCCGCCCCTTTTCTGACTACAGTGGACAAGTGGTTCTATGACCAGAATATGACCAGAAAAACTAAGACCTAAAGGTTGAAATGCCTACATTTCTCCTACCAGGAAGCCCTAAGTGGGGGAGGGGGTGACGAGAAATACTACTTTACAGTTCCAGAGGAAAAAATGGTCTTATCGTAGGTAACTTATTATAACAGAATTGCATATCTACCAATGATGTCATGTTCAAGATGTACCAAAGACATGTGGAGACTAAAAGCAATCAAGAGCAGCTTCACGTGTCCTAATATGTATCTTTGTACATCACGACAGCAGTTGTTCAACTCAGTTGTGTACAGAATACTTGATGGGTGTTCACTGTATGTTAGTAAGAAATAAAAATTATTTTGCTGAAATTCATTCTGTGGATTCCTGTCTCCTCCTTCTCTCCTCTCCCAGTATTCTGTCTAAACACAAAGCTAGTCTGCTGAATCAAATAAGCCTTTAAAAACAAATTTCTTCTATCAAGAGACAAAGACTGCATATGTTCATCTTGTGCTTCACAGCCCAAAGATTCTGTGGAGGGACCATGACTCTTAATTTCAGTGATTGTACAAATGTGGTGTCTCTGCTTGAAAAATGCAAATACCTAGACACTCAGGTTAGCAGTACTCAACTGCCATGGCAGTTTTTAATTACAAACCACTTACTCCTGTGCATCAGCTAGACCTTAAAGCACAGAAACCTTTGCTTGAGTATATTAACTTACACAAATTTAAACAACTCTAAGTGCTGTTGTTGCAAGAAATTTATTACTAAAACTGACCGTTAGCAGAAAATTCTATTTACTTCATACCAGGGTGGATACAAACTGATTTTTTAAAAAAAATCTAACCTGATTTAAATACATTTTGATACTCTTTTTTATTTAAATAGAGGTTTGTTTGTTTTTAAATAAACCTATTTAAAATTCTGAAACTGACAACCTATGTTAAGGTTTAAACCAGGGGTCTCAAACTCAATTTACCTTAGGGCCAGTGCCAGTCCTCAAATCCTACCAGCGGGCCAATGTCATTCATGCTGCCCAGAACCCGCCCCCCCTCTCCCCCCCCGCCTAAGGCTCTGGGACGGAGTTTGGGTGAGGGAGTATCAGAGGGGTAGTCGTGTTAGTCTGGATCTGTAAAAAACAGAGTCCTGTGGCACCTTATAGACTAACAGACGTATTGGAGCATAAGCTTTCGGGGGTGAATACCCACTTCGTCAGATGTATGGGTGGGGTAGGAGGTCTGGGTAGGGGATTGGGGTGCAGACTCTGGGAGGGAGTTTGGGTGGGGGAGGGGATCTGGGATGCAGGCTTTGGGATGGAGTTTGGGGGCTGGGGATGGGGTGCAGACTGGGAAGGGGTATGTGGAGAGGGCGTGGAGGGTGCCACTTACCTGGGACTCCAAGGCAGGGCGGACCAGGGGGCCTCCGCAAGCTTCTGCCCCCAGGCACCGCCCCCACAGCGTCCCATTGGCCTGCCCCTGGGCTGCAGGGAGGGGCCGGCAGTCACTGGAGTGAGCAGGCAGATGTACTGCCTGGGCTCCTGAGGGGGGAGTGCCCTGGGGTGGCAGGTGGGACCACAGAAGAGACCCAGCCCCAAAACTGCTGGAGCCCCAAGGGCCACATTGGGGAGGCTTGTGAGCCGCAGATGGCCTGCGGGCCGGGAGTTTGAGACCACTGGTTTAAACTATTAAAATATTTATAGATACTTAGCAATACATTTTTGTGGCTAAGCTTTTTTAAAAAAGTCAAACCTCTGAACTAGTGGCTAAGTACCTGGAACCAGAGTTTGAAGTACTAAATCAGTGTTTGATGGCAGTAGCTTCTGCAGCTGCAGAGAGATTGTCTCTTTGGTTTATTCAACTAGCTCAGCTCAATGACTAGTTTATTGCCTCCTTAACTTTGAATGGGGAGTTGAAAGTGCAGAAAACCTTGTTTTCCTATTCCCATCTCTGAATAAAAACTAGTGTGAGGAGGATATTTACTAGTTCTAAAATCTTGAAGGACATTGTTTCCAATCACCATCAGTTCAATACACTAACTATAAATAATACTTTTGTTTTTAATCAATTAGTTTTATATGCAAAGCCTATTTTGATTACTTTCTTCTTATGTATCAGCACATTTAAGTATTGTAACTAATAAACAGTTTTAAAATGCTGTTTTATGCATTTAATTGAATTTGAGTTTTCATCCAAACAAAGTTTGACACAAATCTTGTAGTAAAAATGAATCAATCCTTTTCTAAAATAATAAAAATGTAAATTAAGAATCTGAATACATTTTAATCTATGTAATTGCTTAATACATGTATAGGTACAGTGTATTCGCCAGGTTAGCAAAAAGAAGCAGAAAATATAGTTTAAAGACTAGATTTAGTTGTAAATCCAATACATTTTAATGGTTACCATTAATTTTTGCATTTTACTTTAAAAAAAAATAACTTTAAATCACACATACAATCTGATTTAAATATTTTTATTTAAATCAGTCCACCCTGCTTTATAAACTTGCTACATAGATAGTTTTGCTGTTTTTGTTGCTGACCAATTGCTTTTGCTCCAGCACTACTATAAGCACGGTTCTGAGGGAGTTTGAGCACAAAAAGTCCTCCAACTCCACAAGAGGGTGTTTCAGATTTTCAACCCAAGGAGAGAGTCTCCTTTTCTGGGAACTTTTGTTGAGAACAGCACCAGCTCTCATGGTCCATGGGTGGCATGTAAAGGGTGACAAACAGAAAGTATTACGGTTTAGGCACTGGACTGCAACTTCAGAAATCTGGGTTCAGTTCCTTGCTCTACTAGATTCCCTGTTTGACCTTGGCCAAGTAATGCCTGCTCTGTCCCCCAGTTTCCCATTTGCAAACAGAAAAAATACTTTAATCTTGCAGAACTATAAAGATACACTTGCTAATGTAAATCATTATGTGCTGAATGAACAAATACTGTCTTTTGGACAACTGTGCTTTTTACCAGTTAAAAGAACAATAAAAAGTTAATGGCTACAGTCTGAGTCCAAAGAGATTTAAACAGTCAAATAAGAGTGCCATCTGTGAAGGATTTCCCTAACCTGCAGCTTTGAATTTTCAAAATCTCCAGGGTCCACGTTCCCAAAATAATAGCGCTTCTGCTCTTTGACTACTGTTCTTTAAAGCACTTATTTATTGCTGTTTCTCAGGAAGGTGCCTTAAAAAAAAGCTAATTTAAGTAATATGTACTATTTCCAAACTGTCTTACTTCTAAGAGCCTTGCAGAGCAAATGCTATAATGAGCAACCTGCAGATTCTATTCCATCTTACATTATCACCATCTGCTACGGTTACTTGGGCACGGTATGTTTGTTACCTGACTGAATGAACATGACTCCTTAGAATCTGGCTTTCAGGGTGAATATATGCTTGTGAATTAAAAATCCAATTTCAACTAAGTAGTTAGTAATATGTGCTGTGACACACTCCTGCCAAAACACTTGGTTCACAAGAATGTGCACAGAAAGCACATTCTAGGGAAGTTATATGATACAACAGTTACAGCTAACTCACTTAAAAAACTGAACTAATGTTAGCTTGAGTATACCCCTCAAGAACTCAACTTCCATTTATATATGTGCATTGCTTAGAGAACAGGTGGCCTGGGGAGGGATGCTCAGAAGAGGCCAGAAAGGGGAGTATTACCACTTACCTCCCTGCTCTATCATCCTAACCTCCTGTAGTTCATCAGAGGGAGGTGTGTTCACGGGAGAAAGCAGGGATGTGCTAGGGCTTCTCCTGCATCCAGGAGCATCTCTACCTAAAGTGAAGCAGGAGGGGATGAGTCTCTAAACAAGGGTCAAAGAATGGACAGTGGGCTATATGGAGGAGCAGCTGTCTGGGCTGGAGGCATGGTCAGATGCCACTAACGGGGGCAGGGGGGAAAGGGGTGGTGAGCACCTTAGGGCCGCTTCACGGTTCCCCCACAGGCTGCCCATACAAGCTACGTAATGGCTGGGGGGAGGGACTCGTGGGGATTGCAGGGTGCCTCGCGTGGAGCCCCGCTCCGTGAGGTTCCCAGGGGCGCGTTAGCAAAGCGCCTCTCCTGCAGACAGCGAAGCGGCAGGGGTCACACGCCCCCCCCCGCCCATCACTCCCTGCCAGACACAGCGGGGAAAGGCCAGCCCGGCCCAGCGGGCACCTGACCCATCTCCTAGGCACCCAGCTAGCGCCGGCCCCGCGCGCTGCTCCGTGGAGGCGGCAGGCAGAGCCCTCGGCCTGAGCGCCTCGCCCCGTAGTGCAGTTCTCCTCGCCACGCCCTGGGGCCGCGCTGCCCACAGACAAGCTCTGCCCGGCCGGGGCCAAAAGGAGCGGGGGGGCCTGGAACTGCCCCTGAGCGCGGCTCCGATCCCGACCCCTACAGCCGAGGCACAGAGCGGCCGCCTGCCCGGCCCCGGCTACCCGCTCTGTGACGTGAACTGTCGGCTGCCAGGACAGCGCCCGTGCATCTCTACTGCGCGCATGCGCCCGCCGCGCGACCGGATGCAGCCAGAGCTTCCCGGCGCCGGGGCACTGACAGCCTACAATGAAAGCCCAGAGGAACCGCTCCAAGCGGCGGGGGCGAGACTCGAACCCGGGACCCGAACCGTGACACGTCACCACGCCGCGGCCGCACGCAGCGCGCGCTAGCCAGCGCGGCGGACCCAGCCCCCGGAAGCAGGCGGGGGAAGAGGTGCTACGTATTTCCGGCGTGTAGCTGGCGGCTGCCGAGTAAGTGAGTGGGGGCTGCCGCCTGTCGAGGGACCGCAGCCCGGGTCAGCAGCAGGGAGAAGAGCCGCGAGAGGCTGCTGCGGCGGGGGGAGGTGAGGGGCGGCTGGGCAGCGCGGCGGCCGGGGCCCGGGGAGGGGGCACTGGGCCGCGGTCGGGCCCGGCGGGGGGAGGGGAGCCGAGTGACACGCAGTCGGTTTGGGTGGGAGCCGCTACGCGCGCGGAGGGGGCTCCAGCGCCGGTGAGGGAGCAGCTCTGCCGTGGGGGGGTGGGAAAGTCCAACCCTTCCGCGGGGCCGGTGTCTGGGTCCCTTCTCCGTGCGCTGCGGGCCCTCCCCACCCCAGCCTGGGCCTATGGGTCTAGGGCAGCGGGGTTTCCGCTCCCGCCAGCCCCCTGGCGCTGTCACACGCCGGGCGGACCGGGAGAGTCAGTCCAGAGCACGGGGGCCTTTGAGCCCTGGCTTCAGCCGCAGGCCTTACGCAGGGCGACCCGATTGTCAGGGAACTGGACGTGGGTGAGTACATGGTCAGGTGCCCTGTAGGAGCTTGGCCCCTTGGCAGGCACCTTACCCCGGCTCTAATTACCGTATCCTCACGCAGGATTTCAACATTCTCCTCGGGAGCCTGGGTTTGAGAATTATGCTTCTTATGTTAAATTTATTTACAGGAGGATCTATTCTTCCTCCTATTATTTTTGTTTGTTTTGTTTTGTTTTTAAGTCGCTGTAAATGAGCTGAACTAACCTTTAGCCACAATCGTACTTATGGTACATAAAAATCACTGCTGACTTACAAGCACTAAAAGCATAATGAGGTAGGACTAAACAAGACAAGTTGAAAGCATTAATTGTGGCTTGGTGCAGCCAATAAACCTGCAGCTCCCCTTGTAATATTTGCTCTTTTGCTAAGCATTGTTTTTATTGTTCAGTTGCATTTTAGCTTTTGAGAAGGAAAACCCTGAGGGGATTTGATTTGCGTTTCATTTTCATTCTGACTACTTCTGAAAGGAGAGGGTGAACTCTTTATGTACTCCAAAGTCAGCCACCACACAGTTTTACAAAAATTGGTCTCATGGCTTTTGAAACCATTTACCTTGTGTATCACCGAAACAGAGACATGCAGTTTATAACTGCACCAAAGAAAGTCTGGTAATGAGCATGATAGTTAAGAGAGGCAGATACATAAGTATAATTCAGGAAGCAGCTAGAAGTGAGCAGTTATTGTTAACATAGAAGTTAGTGGGATGTTCCATGCAGTGGTGCATCCTGAAATGCCCACAGACTGATGACTTCAGTACTGTTAGTACACCAACTCCTCTGTTACATATAGCTGCTGGAGTGCAAGCAGTTGGTAATGCTTGCAGTCTTAGAACCTGTTTGTGGAAAAGGACATATTGACCTAAAATGAAGTTTTTTGAAATGCTGTTTGAAAATTTCCAGAGATCTTTAACATCCACTCAAAATAGGGACCAGGGGTCAGACACCCTCTTTCAACTCCAGTAATAGTTGGGTAACAAATTTGAGTTCAGCCTTCTGGTGCAGAGGCAAGTATGCTATCAACTAGGCTTAGCACGCCAGTCAAATGATGTCAATAAACCAGTCAGTCAAATGACCAGTCAAGTCATAGCAAGAATACCCTGATGTAGGAGGCAGTCTAGCTTTCTGATTGCATCATGGTGTCATTCTTTTTTTTTTTTTTTTTAGAACTTGATTTTCACATTTATCTGAAATAAAATAACTCAGTTAAGTAACTTGTTTGTTGTAATTAGTCATGAGTCCCTAAGGCTAAACCTTTTGGAGTCTATAAAGTCTTATTTTTTTGCTGCTGTTATGGTTCTAATAAATTAATGCTTTAAAATATTTGTTCATTCTTAACGTTATTTGACCAGTCAATTGACCACTTATTTTTGGACCTGTCAAATGCCCATCCCTACTACCAACTGAATCTTGCTGGCATAGGGGGTTTAAGGTTTTTACCCATAAATGTCTCATGTTTGTTTTCTTGCAGGCAACTAATCTTCAACAATGTCTTTCATTTTTGAATGGATTTACAATGGCTTCAGCAGCGTGCTGCAATTTTTAGGTAAAATTTCAAATTTGTATTTACCATCAAACATAAGTTCGTTTAACTAAATAGATTTTAAATCATTCTGATTAAATCAGTGCAAATGCTAAACAGACACACAACCAAGTGTAATTGTTGCTTCAATTAGTTTAATTTAATTTGGTAATTTACCAACACAAGATACATTCAAACCAGTTTAATCCTTGTTAAAAATGGTTTATCTACATTAAGCCTTTTCACTGGATCAATTTAAAATCTAGTTGAAAAAACAGTTTAAACAGAAAAACAACGAGGAGTCCGGTGGCACCTTAAAGACTAATAGATTTATTTGGGCATAAGCTTTTGTGGGTAAAAAAACCCACTTCTTCAGTTTAAACAGATGCACTTTTTCTAGTATAGTTGACACCCTTATTGAATGTATTAGTTCATTAGGATTTTCTCTCCTGGTATAATAGCAAACAGTACTGATGAGATGATGGTGGTAGGATTAGTTCATTTGTACCTTCATTTACAAAGTACCTAAGTAATGAGAGTAGCTTGATCCACAGTTGAATTTTTAAAAATGTAAGACCTATAAAACATTCCTTCCCCTTTATTTGGTGAGCCCTGCCTCATACTGTACTGCTGTGCAATAATCTGATGCAGTTTATAATGAAGATACTCTCCCCTTCCGTGGTATTTTTGAGACAATTCTCTAATCCTCCTCATTGTCTGAGTAGCTCTTTATCTGAGTTTTATGGACAAAATTGGAGGCACAGAGGTTAGGTAATCTTCCCATAGTGTTTCAGGGAAATCTGTGACCTACTTAGACATGAGTTCTCTTCCTAACTCCAGTCCTTCTGGTTTACAAGTTAAACATAGAATCATAGAAATGTAGGGCTTGAAGGGAACTCGAGAGTTCATCTGATCCAGCCTCCTGTCCTGGGGCAGGACCAACAATACATAGGCCAGGGGTGGCCAACTTGAGCCTGAGAAGGAGCCAGAATTTACCAATGTACATTGCTAAAGAGCCACAGTAATATGTCAGCAGCCCTTCATCAGCTCCCCTCCCCTCCCAGCGCCTCCCACCCACCGGCAGCCCTGCCAATCAGCGCCTCCCCCTCCCTCCCTGCACCTCCCGATCAGCTTTTTCGTGGCATGCAGGAGGCTCTTGAGGTTTGGGGGAGAGGAGCGAGGGCATGGCAGGCTCAGGGAGGGGGCAGGAAGGGATGGAGTGGGGGCAGGGCTTGTGGCAGAGCCAGGGGTAGAGCTGTGAGCACTCCCCGGCACATTGGAAAGTTGGGACCTGTAGCTCCAGCCCCAGAGTCAGTGCCTATACAAGGAGCCGCATGTGGACACAGGTTGGCCACCCCTGACCTAGACCATCCCTGAGAGGCGTTTGTTTCACCTGGTCTTAAAAACTTCCAATGATGGAAATTCCACAAACTCCCACAGCAGCCTATTCCATTGCCTAAGTATTAGAAATTTTTTCCTAATATCTAACCTAAATCTTCCTTGTTGCAGACTAAGCTGATTACTACTTGTCTTACCTTCAGTGGACATGGAGAATAATTGATCACTTTCCTCTGTATAACAGCCCTTAATGTAGTGGAAGGCTGTTATCAGGTCCACCCCCCTCAGTCTTCTTTTCTCAAGAATAAACATACCCAGTTTTTTTTATCCTCATAGGTTGGTATTTCAAAACATTTTATCATTTTGGCTGCTCTTCTCTGTCCTATCCTCTCATTTTTGTGGACTCTCTCCCATTTGTTCACGTATTTCTTAAAATGTGGTGCCCAAAACTGGACATAATAATCCAGTAAAGTCCTCACCACTGTGGTGGAGTGGGACAGTTACCTTGTTGTATGTACAACACTCCTATTAATACACATCTCAGAATATTAGCCTTTTTTGCAATTTCATCACATTGAGTGGCTTTCAAATTGAATGTGAGCCAACAAACTGCTAGATCTTCTTGTGCAGTACTACCACCGAGCCCGTTATTCCCAATTTTGTATTTATGTATTTGATTTGTCCTTCCTAAGTGCGGTACTTTGTACTTCTCTTTATTGAATTTCATTTTGTGGATTTCAGATCAATTTTCCAATTTATCAAGGTCATTTTGAATCCTGTGCTCCAAAGTGCTTGCAACCCCTCCCACGTTGCTGTTATCCACAAAATGTTATAAACATATTCTTCACCCCATTATGTAAGTCATTAATAAAAATATTGACTAGTACCAGACAGACCCCTGCGAGACCTACAAGGTATATCCTCCTAGTTTGATATTGAACCATTGATAACTACTCTGAGTACATCTCCACAATTGTTTTCAAATTTATTTCCAGTCTTTTCCATTGACTTTCATGCTTTCCCTTGAACTATATCTCTTCAATTTCCTGCTATCTAGCTACTTAACTCTTATTAACAAGGCTTGGAAAATGTATCCAGTACCTGCTGGCCCAAGGACTAAGTCTTCGAATTGCCAGGCCAGCATACTCCAGCAGCCCAAGCCATGTATTCTCCTGTCCAGTGTCCTGTTAGTTGGATTCTCCCACCAAATACTGGGGCCCACGATGTAAGACTGATGCTAGTTGAACTGAGCTCAACTCTATATCTACACACTAGACCCAGCACACTCCAAATTGATGCTGATTGGGTCCAAATAGAACAATGTTATTGCTACCTTCGCCAATAAATTAATAATGCACAACCATCTGGATAAATCAGTTTATGGTGGCCCTGTGCCTGGTGCTTTGCCAAAGTGGGAGGAGAGCTCACCACAGACAGAGCTACCCTCTGACTCTGACTCCAGCTGGCTCCAAACCAGGGAGCAGTGTAGTGGTGGGCCCTTTGTCTACCATTCTAGAAGATGGCTGTTTCATTGGGGGTGTGGAGAATTCTGTGGGGAGACCTCTCCTGCCATTCTAGCAGAGGGCTCTGTGGGAGTGGCCTTTCTTATGTCTCCACTCCAGCAATTTGCTGGAATGGCAAGTGTGCCCATGCACAGAGACTTTCATTGAGGTGACATGGTAGTATCAGTGAGGTCCCACCTCTATGTAGAGACGTGTGCTAGATGGCTGTGGGGAAGCTCCCTTCAGTGGGGGTGGGGGTGGATGAATATTCCTGAGGGCTGCTTATTCCTAATGATGGCAACCAGGGTTTTCTGACCACCCCTTCTCTTCAGTTTGTCATGTATTCCATAGATGTGAAAATGGCTTTCAGGAAAAGCTTGAAAGTCCGTACGGAAATGAGTTTTTGTTGGGGGGAAGCCAAAACTAGTTTAGAAAACACTGTCCAGCCTCGTAATTAACACTTTGCTTTACCTTCCCAAAACCATAGGTTCATTTCCCAGTGTTGTGTTCCCTGTGCTGAGGGTTTATGGGTAATGTTTTACACTGTTGTTTTTGGAAGGTGTGGATTATGTGATACCACTGTAGTGTTTAATATCTATATTAGATCATATTTCTGCATGAGAGCAAATGTAAACCTGTTGAATTTTCTTTTCACTTCCAGGATTGTACAAGAAATCTGGAAAACTAGTGTTTTTGGGCTTGGACAATGCTGGTAAAACCACTCTTCTGCACATGCTCAAAGATGACAGATTGGGTCAACATGTCCCTACGCTACATCCAAGTAAGTTATCCGGTGATCTGATTTTGAGTCCATTGTTCATTGGATTTTCCTCATCAAAATCACTCATGCAACTGGATATTGAGCTGTAATGATGAAAAATGCCTTAATAGTTTTCATCTTTAGAGATTGACTTAGATTTTTAAAACTAACCTTGAGGACTTTTGTGTGGTGTCTGTCTCTTGAGGTGAAATTAAATTTGAGTAAGTCTTGTAATGAAACATCAGTTAAACTATATAAAGTGAATGCAGACGACTGACTCAGTTGAGTTAACACAAGCTTATTTTAAGCATAATTACTTTTCTAGATTAAATATAAAATTCATGTCTAGAGACTAATCAGGATGTACCCTTGGAAAAGAGCAACTCCTTTCCCATTTTAATGATCCTATGAAGTGGCTTTATCCTTTATGTAATAGGTCCCTCATACCATTCTGTGTATGGTTGTTGGAATTATTATTTGAAATTATTAATACTAATAATAATATAGGAAACCACAAACATCAGTTTAACCATAAATTCTTTATTAAGTCCAAAGGCCAAATGGTATTTAATACAGTTGCTCTAAACATGTCTAACAGCCTAAAAATAAGCAATCACTACACCCAAACAGTTTAAAAAAAAAAAAAAAAAAAGTATACTGAGCAATATACTTACAAATAGGCAAAACCTAGGGAAAATCGTCTCATCCTGGTGTGCTCCAGCATGATCTGGTGGAGTCTGACAAAGAACCTCAAATTCATAACTTTTTATACTCTTCAGCAAACAAATGATGTCATAGCCAGTTACCACTTTAGCTAACAACTAGTTTGAGACAGTTCACCCTCATTTTTCATTTTAATTCAAATAAGATTTACAACGTCCTTCTTCCCGGGGTCTTTCCTCCTTATCTTTTCCCCTCCATCCTGCTGACCAACAACTTTTTCATTTCACCTAGGTTCACAGAGAGATAATACTGGTACGTGGGATGGGAAGGTCCATGGTGACTCTTTTTAAGACAGGTTCTTTTTGTTATATTGAAAACCACCTGCCGTCACACCAGAGGCCTTCTTTTTAGGAACTTCTTGTTTCATTAGTCATTCTTTGAACCAGAAATCTTCCCTACTTCATTCCTTTTGGCCTTATAACTCATTATTTTCAAGGCCTTCCTTCTACTTGCTAGTCAGGGCCTTTCTTTACAACACATATATATTTCCTTAAACAAACTTAAACTAACTCTAATTGTTTGATTTTTATATTTATCCTACAGTGGTGTTGATAGGTACAATAAAATATGGTGGATGTGATAATGGCTGCAATTCAGCTAACTCAAGACTTTATTCCTCCTTTTTTAGCATCAGAAGAGCTGACTATTGCTGGAATGACTTTCACAACTTTTGATCTCGGTGGACATGAGCAAGGTAAGAACGGGCTTCTTTCAGAATTAGGGGACAGAAAAGAATATTAAGTGTTGCAGTTCATGCTGATGCTAATAATTATACTAAACTTTAGCCATCTTAAGGAAAATATATGGGAGAGCACTAACTATGGTCTCTTTTATTTTAACATGTAGAATTGGGTAATATTTATTTATATGTAAAGTTAATCATTCTGATTAACTTAGATTTCATTTACTGTAGCAGATGAATCTTGGTTCATCTGCTTCTGACAGTGTGTACAAAATCTTGCTTTCAGTACGCTTCTGCCCTAAATCTCTTACCATAGATGGCTTACATGTGCATAGAACCACAATGAAGCTTCCTAAAGGTGGTTTACAAGGGACTCTTTACATAAAGTTGACCTTTCTTTGTTTTTTAGAACTTTAGAGGTTATACTGAAAGCTTTTTCTGATTCTTTTGCCTTTGAAATATCAGGAATGTCAAATCTGGATTTCTTTCTTTTGTGAAGGATCTTCTGTGAAACTTATCTATATCATGAGCACTTACATCTTAATTGAACTGGATGGGAAGTTGAATTCTTAAGACTTCTCTTCTCCAAAATGATCATTAGTAATTGAAATCAAATAGGTTTCTAGTATTGTTTATTTTTAAATAACCTGTCAAAAATCCCTTCCCCCTTGGTTTCTCAGCTTTGTGTCTCAACTCTGGGATAGGTCACCATTTTACTAATTCTCCAGGTCAAGCAAGCCCTGGCCTTCTAATGTTTAGAAAAACCTTCCAGACATCTTAGACCTCAAAGAAACAAAGGTCACAAGCCCAGTTTTCTTCTTGCATGTCACCTTTAACCCATGACAGTGGGTTCTCAAACTTTTGTACTGGTGACCCCTTTCACATAGCAAGCCTCTGAGTGCAAGCCCCCCCCCCTTATAAATTAAAAACACTTTTAAATATATTTAATACCATTATAAGTGCTGGAGGCAAAGCAGGGTTTGGGGTGGAGCCTAACAGTTCGTGACCCCCTCCATGTAATAACCTCGCGACCCCCTGAGGGGTCCCGAACCCCAGTTTGAGAACCCCTGGTCTAAGCAGTTCTCTATGGCTGATATGATACCATGGCAATGGGCTTGGTATAAGAACCTGAGCAGAACAGATTTGTAGCTTTTGAATAATACAAAAATGAGTTAAACTACTGTTGCACTCAAGTGGCTCATCAACAAAAAAAAGTTCAAAAATAGTATGAGAAGCCTGCAAAAAGGTCTGATTACTTTTGCTGGTGAAGGAGAGAGAACTGACAATTAATACAAGTCACTGGCTTCAATTCAACTGCTCATCTTAAGTATTTAAACTTTTAAACAAATCATTCTTGCTTCTTTTCCTGTATGTGGGCATGCTGTCCCCCTCAAAGCAAGATTTTTACAGGGATATTTGTTCTTTTCTATTCTAGCACGCCGGGTTTGGAAGAATTACCTGCCAGCAATTAATGGGATTGTCTTTCTGGTGGATTGTGCTGATCATTCACGTCTCATGGAGTCTAAAGTTGAGCTTAATGTATGTTTCCAATTCGTAGTTTTTTCCATGCAGGAGCTATGTCCTGGCTTTACAAATGCAAATTTCCTCTGGCTTCAAGGGGGCTGGAACTTAACATACAATAATATCTTGGCCCCTGAGAGAGATCTTCCAAGCATTATAATCTTCTTCTCTTCCCTTCCCTTCCCTTCAAAAAAAGTTGACTTGGTTAAAGCCCTTTGCATTTAAAAAAAAAAAAGCAGCATCCTAAATTCTAATAACTGGTTGTTTGAGATGGAGAATTAAACTAATGAGGCCATTCTTAACTTAACTATTGTAGAGCCACAGGAACAATTTATAATTTTACTACATATACTAACACAGATTTAAAAATTGGCTGAAAATTTGCATGCTCTTATAGGCTTAATGTGTATTTTAAGTCTTCCGATCATTTTAAATAGCCAGTATAATTTATACAATAGCTGTCTTCAATAAACTGTTACGAGATTTGTACTCACCTCTGAGGAATTTTTTCCTCTTCAAAGTGCCATAACATCAAAAGATCATTTTAAATTGTTGCCAGTTCTGATTTGAAGCAAAGAAATAAAAGGTCACTACAGATAACGAATTTTTATAGTGCATCATGTTAACACTTGTGTTTTCCCTATAGGCACTAATGACAGATGAAACAATATCCAATGTGCCAATCCTTATCTTGGGTAACAAAATTGACAGACCAGAGGCCATAAGTGAGGAAAAACTGCGGGAGATTTTTGGGCTTTATGGACAGACCACAGGAAAGGTAAGATGAAAAGAGTTTGAGCCTTTGGCTATTAATAAGGTCATGGGGAACTAAATGAAGAATGGAATATTTTTTTATAAGTGATTTTACGTGTTACCAAGAATGCACATCAAGATTTGTTAACCAGGTCATTCTGTCCAAAAATTATTTGAAAGATATTAAAAATACTGGAGTGTTAATGGGAACTGTCTGGATATTTAAGACTTGGTACAGACATGATATTTCTGAAAGAAATTGTAGTAGTTGATCCATTTGGAAGCTTTTTGTACTGTTCACCTAACTCTTCTACCCCCTTAGGCATCCTTGCTTTTTTGCTTTGCTAGAAATGACTGAGCTTTCTTTCACAGCCATGTTAAAAAGATGATTAAACACAAATACTAAACTATATAGTGGAAAATGCAAGAATACACTTTGGGTGCACTATAGAGCTTCTGCATGCTATGCATCTTGTATTTCAATTTTAAAATTCATTAATTTGTACAACTGCTATATCAAAATAGTTGCCTAGCTGTTCTCACTTAAAAGCAGGATTTGAGTTCTCTGCTTCCAATGTCCTATTGTTCAACTGCCTATCTAAGTCTCTTGGTTCACTGTAGTCTGGCTGTTAGGTCTGTAGGAGCAGCTGTTGAGATGCAATTGTGGACAACTAACTTTAAAAGGCTGTGTAAAGAAGACTATAAAATAAAACTAAAGAGATCTCTGTAAGACTGGTAAGTGAAACTTCAGTAGGAAAATCTTGCTAGTCCAGCATTTGACTCCTAGGTTACCATTTGGTAAGGATAAAGAAACTGCACCTCCTTGCACTTACATACACCGATCGGTGCTTGTTGCAATTCTGACTTCTTCCTATTTTCTTGATTCCCCAGGGAAATGTGCCACTGAAGGACCTGAACACACGCCCCATGGAAGTGTTCATGTGCAGCGTGTTGAAGAGACAAGGCTATGGCGAAGGCTTTCGTTGGCTATCACAGTACATTGACTGATGTTTGGACAGACATAGAGTTTTACTCCTCTGGACTGATCCTGTTCACAGCTTCCTTATGGACTTTTCTATTAGAATGTGGAAGGCTCTCCTGCCACATATTGGCATTGACCAAGAGACTCCTGGTTTTCAACTATCCTGTTGCACAGTGGTGACACAACTCTTTTCCACATGACTGGGAGATAACACAATTCTGCACACTGGTGCAAGTTGTCCCTTTCAGTTGCCATTGTTTCCCACAGAACCCATGGCTTTCAGTTACAATGGGGCTGGTGTGATCTGGAATCCAAAACTCTGCACGCTGTACTGCAACACCTGAAAAAGAGAATACGTCTCACCACTGTGGCTAATTGACTTAAAGAAAGCAATTATATTTTTTAAAAAAAGTGTTAATGTAAGCAGTGTCCCTTCTAACTTTTTGGTTTAACATTTATCTTGTTTGGTCCAGAGTCTATTAGGGTTTTTTAAAATCTATTTAATGGTATTTAGATATTTCCCAAATTAATGAACCACGTATCATGATATTAAAGTCCTAAATAAACATAGATTTGGGCTTAACTGGTCTATAGGATGGTTGTGCTGTGTCACACTGGGTGATCATGAAGAGGATGCTGTTGGGACTGACTTGTGCAATGAAGCTTCTTTAACTTACAGGGATTTTAGTTGAAAAAGGACACACACAAGCACGTCTGTTCTGTTGCTGCCTCATGCTTAGGTGTTTGAATGCAGTTTCCAGTTTCAGCCTCCTAAAGTGGTGATGCTATGAAAGGGACAGTGTAGCTGTCTTGTTCAGTTTCCCATTAGCAGTCTTTCTGCTGTGGTGGATTAGGTTTATTGGGTTCTCACTCTAGAATGTAGGATGTTCTTTGTTGCAGGGTTCCACTGTATTATAACTAAAAATCATGACGTTATTTTGTTGTTGTTGTAGCATGAGTGTTCAGCATTTGCATCTGATAAGGTTGTTCATGTAGACTGCACCAGCTTCTTTTTATACTTAACAGACTTTGTCTGAAGTTTCATTATTGTCTAGAGCTCCTCCTTTTCAGTTAAATAAAATAAAGACATATCTTCCTCTACAAGGGGTGGTGATACTTAGTTGAAACTTATTCAAGCTTTCATAACTGGAAAGTACCCTTCATCATTAGGGGAAAGTGAAGAATCTTATTGTGACACTATGCAATGTAAGGCCTGAGAACAGCTTGTGTGTACTTGCCTGCCACAACCTCTCTCACACACCCAATAGTTCACAGAAAAATTATATATGAATGGGAAGTAAAACAAATGTTAGATCTTAAACCCTGTTGATTCTTGTCCTGCTGACATTATTCTGATTAATCCCCACAAGAGATATCATTATACTCCTGTAAAATGGAGAATAGATTCAGCTCGAAAATAGCCTGACACTTAATTCCCTATACCAACATCTGTTACTCCTAATGAGGGAAAGAGGAACTTTGAGTACTAGTTCAATAATTTATCCCCAATCTTTCTTTTTGGCAGCTGATTGCCTTTCCCACAGGTGGTGGTAGTGAACATTAGGATACAGTTTATACTTATGCTGAGTTTGTCATTTTGACCTAGCTTCATCAACCATTCACTGGAGTGTCGGAAGCCATATATTTTTCTACGGTAAGTGTTGGAATCTCCTGCGTAAATGTCACTGTGGAGTACTCAACAGTAGCATGTGATACTGCCATGTGTCAGGTATGAATTTAGTTTTACAACCAGAAAAAGGTTAACTGTGCTGCAAAAATGGTACATATGTTCTTCTGATGCTGGCATAGAAACATATAACCCTTATATTTCAATAAGTGAGTGGTTCTAAGTTGAGCTGAGCTTTCTATGGGCAAAGATTCAAGGAATGTCAGATTTGCTGAAGAGGAGGGGAACTGATAGAAGGTTGACTCTTCCTAGGGTGTAGAGCAGTGCTTCTCAAAGCCGGTCCGCTGCTTGTTCAGGGAAAGCCCCTGGTGGTCCGGGCCGGTTTGTTTACCTGCCACGTCCGCAGGTTTGGCAGATCGCGGCTCCTACTGGCCGCGGTTCGCCATCCCAGGCCAATGGGGGCTGTGGGAAGTGGCGCGGGCCAAGGGATGTGCTGGCCGCCCTTCCTGCAGCCCCCATTGGCCTGGAGCAGCGAACCGCGACCAGTGGGAGCTGCGATCGGCCAAACCTGCAGACGCGGCAGGTAAACAAACTGGCCTGGACCGCCAAGGGCTTTCCCTGAACAAGCTGCGGCCCGACTTTGAGAAGCACTGGTGTAGCGGATCTATCTGCCTGCCTTTTAGACTATCGGATGATTAACATTCTAATTTGCTGTGATGTGTCCCCATTAGGCTGTACACCAATCAGGGTCACAGAAATGAGGCTTCTATGGGGTGTGCTTATCACTTCACACCTGTTAAAAGGGTTTGAATGAAGTGTCTTTCAATCTTGTTCAGAAACTAACATCAAGGTTAGAGTGTTCATTAATTTGGTGCAAAGACACTGTCACAAACCTGGCCTTCACTACAGTGATTCCACTAACCAGCTGAAGACTTCTGATTTTGTTGCTCAGACAAAAACACTGCAGTGTTACCATTAGAATCTAGGGTCAACTTATACTTGGCTCATGAATAAGAATGGTTGATTTTAGGCTAGTTCCTGCTGATCAACATAAGATCTGGCAACTTTGATTATCTGTAACTGTGTGCTGCCGTTCTATTCTTAGTGTTTAGAAACTATTTAGAAAGTTAGTACCCTAACATAGCAAAGCCTTCTGTGAAAGTGGTGTGCCCACCACTGGAGAAAGGGAACAACAGTGAATAACACTCATCTGTTCTGTGCATCTGTAGATAAATATTGTTCCCTGAAATGTATTGCTGTAAAGTTTAATATATATTTCAGAAATTTGGGTACAGATAGTGTTAGTGTATCTAGATAATTCTTCAGTCTTTTAGCTAAGCACTTACTCTTATTCCTGGAAAAGTGAAATCATGCATATTTTTGCAAAGGAAGTTCATCTGTATCCAGAGCATTTTATTAAAGTTTTTTTAATTTAAAAAAAGTCCAGACTGGATGATTGGGTTCTGGAATTCTCTATATAAATGGTGAGGAAGACTGCATGTGGGATTATAAAACTGTTTGTGGGAATGTGGAGAATGGAAAAACTGAAGACTTTGATAAACAGATGTGAAAGTCACATTAGGGAATGGGAATCCTAGTGCACAAGGCTCTTGCCAGTCCAAACGTGAGAAAATCAGATGCGAATATCTAGGCTCAAATCATTAAAGGATGTCAGATGTAAATAACACTTTACAGAATCAACAAGGAGTCCGGTGGCACCTTAAAGACTAACAGATTTATTTGGGCATAAGCTTTTGTGGGTAAAAAACCCACTTCTTCAGATGCAACAGAATGCAAATGAGGATGTTGGAGCTTACATTTTAGCTCAAGACAAATTAGGTAATCATTCAAACCCGGCTGGGAACAGTGCTATTGGGAGGTCAGTTATGATGGCTTTGTAAAGATCTTATAGGAGAAGATGCATTCTCCACTGGAAGGATGCTTGAAGTGTGGCCATGGTTCGAAAAGGCACAAAGATGAGTGTGAGACAAAAGGACCTCTTAAGAATGAAGCTTAGAAAGCGAAATGAAAACAAAGAATGAGGAAGAGGATGGGTTGGAAAAAGCATAGGCCAGTGAAGTGATTCAAAGGTACAGTGTTCATAGTGCAAAACAGTTACATAAATGGTCACGATTGGACTAACACACTTTGTGTGAATGAACTGTGGTGCAATACCAGATCTGTGTTGGTAGCTTATATAGTACCTGTCTGTATTGTACATGACTCTGTGGTATTAGTCTGTCACTCTCATGAGCAGTAAAATTCACCAGCTTCCTGGTCTTAAATATATTAAAAGAATTTCCTGACTTAGTGAGACTTCACCAATGTAAAATGAAAGCAATGTAAATAAGTGAATCAGGTATGGAAAATATCTATTACTGCTCCTACTCCATCTTCTTGATAGTACAGGTTGTTCAGTATTTGGTCATCTACTTTTAAATGGGCTAGGCAGTGTGGCTTCCACTTCCTTTGAGATTAATTGCAAGAGAGATTTTCTTGACTTTATTTCTCCTGCTTCTATTCCTCTTATTATGCAAATTCTTTTCATGTGGGGTTTACATCCCTCAAATGTATGTAGACTTATATAAATACATTTGAATTTCTTTTTTGTAAACAACAAACTCTTTATCTAGTTTAGCCTTCCATAGGCAGAATTTATGGTCTGGCAAATTATTGGTGAAGAGGAAGAAAATGAACGGATTCTCATTATTTTACTGCTCTCCCTTCACTTACTGCTCTACCCAGAAGATAGACAATGTGCATTCCTTCTAACTTACTGTCCTTCCCTTAAGACTTTCAGTCTTGGTGTCTTCTAGGTTTTTTTCTCTCACTGAAACATTAAAATATTCCAAGTTTTTAATCCTGATCAAGTAATATGTTACAACTAATGTTCTCAAGGCATTTTAAAATGAAATAACTGCATTTTCTGTTTATCTAGTGACACGTTCAAGAGATTTGGGTCTGAGTTGTTCCCATCCTGGTTTCATCTATAAGCTCAGGTTGCAAGCTAACTCCTGGCTAAGCAAGAGCTCTGTTACGCTGTGGCTTCTCAAGGGAGGCTTGGCAAGATGGTGAATACAAAAGGAAGCTTGCAGATTGTGTTGTACTGGGAAAAACTGGCAGAGTAGTAAGAACTCTGCCTCTATTTTCTCTCCTGGATTGAAAATGTCTGGGTGGTCTTGCTCTGGAGATAGCAATAACCGTATGCTTTAGTCTATGCTGAGACTTTTAAAGGTTTCACAGCTCAAGATCTTACAAAAGCCTTCCCTACTACAAGTGTCGTACTAACATTTCCCTAACATGTATTCTAACTTTTAGAAGAGGCAACAGTGGGTGAGAATCCTACAGTAATATGATAAAAAGCAAGCTCTTCTGGATTAGTGGGAATTAATGCTTGGGGCCTGTCTATGCTATTTTCATCCACCTCACTAGTGAAAACCCCTAGCCTACACCCACTGCACTGGTATAAAATTACTTACACTGGTGCAGATTACCTGGTTTGAAGGCTAGTCAAGTCATACTGGTTCTGTGTTTACACAGAGACTTACACTGGTGTAGCTGCATGCACGCACACAAAAATCCAGTGCAGGGAAGCCTTTGTAATGGCAAACAATGTGACTGCCTCAAATAGACTCTCAACAGCAAGCATCTTAAAGCCTTTTAAAATGCTGTAGTCTGGTATATTTTTAGACTAGAACTCTAATTTTAGCCCTTGAAATACTATATGAATTATGCTAAGAATAGCTAGAGAAACATTTTCACTGGGTTTCATGCGCCAAGGTAGGAGCAGAGCTCTTTATTGGGATAGAAAAGAGGGACATACTGGTCACATTCTTTCAGGAAGTGATGTTAAGTATTTATTCAATGCTCCTCCACAATTCTAGCAATATCAACCCTCTTCAGTAACTGAGACTGTATTAATTCCCCCTCCCCCCTATCACTAATCATTGTTCAGCTACTGCTTGCTGTAGTTTTTTTGTGGGTCAAGGGCTTGATTATTTCACTTGTGTTACCTCTGGAGGAGGGACCCATCATCAGTTTAATCCTCTGGTTACTAGGGTGTTTAGTAAATGTTTCAAGTTGTTTGTGAGGAGGTGGATGGAGTTAGGTGTACCTTTTGGGTTTTGGGGGGCCTCTCCCTCAGCCTAAGGGGAGGAGCTACTGAACCCAGGGCTCAAACAAACTCAGAAGCAACTAATGACAAAGTGGATCAGGAGTGATGGTCAAAGGTTCAAAATAGAGGATCCAGAAGGGGACACCTAGCAGAGAACCCTGGACAGCACCCACTGCTCCTCAAAGGTGCCTACGGAGCCAGTGGAGGTAGCCCAAAGCAACTCTGCCCAGATATGCGAACCAAGAGAGGAGCAGAAATAGGCCCCACGGTCACTGAGCACCGCGCCATCCAGCATCCTCCTCCTGGTGGAATAGATGGCCACCTTGGCCAGTGCTAGCAGGAGGCTGACAAGGAGGTCTCATGACTTCCTGGGGCCACGAATGGGGTGTGCATAAATAAAAGTATGAGGAAAAGTGCAGCCAGAACTGAACGAGACAGCTGTGTAAAAATCAGAAAAGGGGCTGCACTCTGGTTCACTTGAGGTAGATATGCACCACCAGGGTCTCCCTCATGCTGGAGATGGTACAGGTGTTGGGGAGGGGGGTGGACTGTGCTAAAGAAGTACACACCTATGCTCATGGCTCCATGAAGGAGCTGCCAACTAATATCCCTGGCAGGCCCTAGGACCAGGGTGGAATACTGACTTGCCCACTCAGTATAACATGCAAAACATTGACTATTTAAAGGTCACAAAATATCAGTCTGCTGACCTATTCACTTAACTTCTTTCCCTTAGGTGTTGCAGGATCAGGGTCTTTATCCTTACTGCGTATGTTAGGAGTCAATCCATCTGGTATATCTTCTAGAAGGAAATATTTTCAGCAGCTTTTAAAAAAGGAGATTTTACCCTCAGGAAAGCCTCTCATTGTGCAAAAACAAGGCACCAACCAATAAAAACAAAAGGTGGGAAAAGTAAAGCTGACACAAGGAACTCAAGGCCACAGGAGATTATTGAGGTCAGAATCTTGCTGAGATTTTGGCATGGGTGGGATGTGTATGTGGATCACAAGAACACCCAGAGAGCCAAGGAGTGCGAGGTAGTATTTTATTGGACCAAGTTCTGCTGGGGGAAGACACAAGCTTCCCACCTTCACAGAGTTCTTCGGAGTGTTGTGAAGCTCAAACGCTTGTCCCTGGCCCCTGCAGGCTGCTGCAGGGCAGGGGGAGCCAGGCTCCCCTTGTATCACGCGTATCTCGCCCCTCCCTGGCAATTCGCGCCCCCCAGCTACCCGTGGCCCGAGGTCCGCGCCACGCTGGAGCCGGGATGGCGCCCGGCGGAGGCGGCGCGAGGTGCCACGTTGCAATGCGGGAAGCAGCCGGCGAATGGCTGTGCCGGCTCCCAGCAGGCAGCGCGCCGTCAGGGGTGGCCTCCCGCGGACACTCGCCCCGCCCCACGCAAGGCCCGCAACTGCGACCGGGCCCAGCGCAGAGTTAGGCCTGGGGCAGCCACCCGCAGCGTAGGAGCCTGAGTCACGCCGACCAATCCCCGCTCGCTCGCGGACGGGGCGGCCAATAAAATGAAACCCTTGGGGCTCACGTGAGTAGAGGGCGGAGTTAGTAGGGCTGGAACGCTGGCTCTGCGGGTCTGGAGGGTGGGCGCTCAGTGCTGGGGCCGCGTGCGTGGCGGGCGCTAATCCCCCCCTCCGGGAGGTGACTGGCTAGTGCTCCTGGCTCTCGTGCCGCAGCCAGCCTGTCCTGCGGGAGTCCCCGGGGCGCGCGGCCCGGACAGTCCGTGCGCCTGGGGCTCTGGTACCTGCTCCCGCAGCGCCCCAGCTGTGGCGCGTCTAGTTCCTCTGCCCACGTAGGCGGGGCTGTCGCTTCTGTGTGGCCCCCACGCCGCCCCTCCGGCGGGCCCATCTCTGCTCGTAGCGGGCGCTATTGCTGCCCGGTGACCTCCCCAGCGCCCTGTCCCACGCACACGCCACCCGCGCCTCTGCAGGGGAGGCTGCTGCTGCGCCTTCCATCTCTACCTTACACCCGTCCGGTGGGGGGAGGGGTCTAGTCCTTGCAGGCAGCTTCCGTGTCCAAGCCTGGGACTGCGATGATGCTGCTGTCTGGGGACAGGGCTTGCTGTGTCATTAGTGCTTCCAGTGGGAATTCCGTGGGGACCCCAGCTCGGGGATCCTGGAGCTGTAGTGGGGTCATCTTGAGCCAGAGTCCAGGGATTGTGGTCTGCCACGGAGCCATCTTCTCTCCTTTCCTCTTGGAGGAGGTGATAGCAGCAGAGCAGGGCATATGGTCCCAGTGCAGCGTCCTGCTGGCGAACAGCTTCTCCCCAGATATTCAGATCCAGGTTCTCTGGACTGCAGAAAGCAGAAGCAAAGGGAATGGTAAGGGTGTGTTGGGCAAAGATTTGGGGGCCTGCAGCCCAGCTCTGGGGTTCAATCCCCTTTCAAACCAACCGGGATCTCCTGGCACCCTCAGGCAGCATGAGGCCAAGCTCCTTATGATGGTGCCCTGCCCAGAGTTCCAGGACACCTTCTCCAAAGTCTTCACCCGTGCTGAGCAGTGGCATTTCTGTAGGAGTGAAGATGAGCAGGAGCATGGAGCACTCTTGGATGATTTGCGCTATCTGCATTGGTTTGCCTTGCTGGAGATCCCAGACCTCAACTCACCTGGTATAGCTCAAGTAAGCTGTGTGCTGGCTGAGTCATTGAGGAAAGGTGACATGCTGTTTGCCTGTGGTTCCCCTTTTGGTTCATTTTGCCCAGACATTTTCATTAACACTCTTAGTAAAGGGATAGTGAGTAACCTAGCTGGAGAAGGCAATGTCCTTATTCTGACTGATGCTCGTTGCTTGCCTGGCACCGAAGGAGGAGGGGTCTTTGGGTTCTCTGAAGATGGTTTTAACCTAGTTGGAATAATTGTGGCTCCGCTTTGTTGGAAGGCCAATGAGTGGGTTGGATTGACGTTGGTTTGTTCAATTGGCCATATCCTGGAGAATGTCAGGAGTGCCTTGGTTGGGTCTGGAAGTTCTATGAAAACCTGGTGGCCTCATGTGCAATTGGTTGCTAAGCCTGTTGGGAAAATGGCAGTCAGCCCTGGGCCCGCACAGCATCTCCTGTCTGCAGTGGTGTTGGTGGAATGTGGTCAAGTCTGGGGATCTGGCGTGCTGGTCAGTTCAAGGCTAGTGTTGACCTGTCGACATGTGGTGAATGAAGCCTCGGGTGTCTGTGTAAGGGTACAGCACAGCCCTGAAAAGTAAGTCTTGATTCTTGTTTTTGTTTATCTTTGTTTAATAGTCAGTAAGTAGGACAATGCAATTGACGTGGTAATGCAATAATCTGCGAAGTGCCATACACTGCAGCCTATAGCCTCTTCCTTAAATGACCGCGTTGAAGTTTCTAATAAAACTCTTCTGCATCTCCTAACAAACACTGCCATCCAAATATTTGAGCAACCTGGCAGTTCTGGATAATAGGTGTGAAATGGCCAGCATGTTCCATATCAAACACTAACTGACCCAACCACGCGTATACCCAGCATTGATTTGCCATGCCATTCATGGCCCTTTCTGAACCTATACAGTATGGGCCAGGGTCAGTGTCCAGCCAGCCTTCAAACCTGGGGCTAACGAGAGGATCCCACATTTTGGATGTGCCAAAGACGGAGAATATCACGCATCACTCACAACTGCCCTTTGACCAGATGTGATGGTTGTCTGAGGCCTCTGCACTTTGCTGATGAGGCTGTTGCAATTTAGCTTGGCAACCTCTACATTTGATAAGGTATCAAACACTTATATCACTATTCTCTGCATCTCTTTTATACATTCTTCCAGAGGTCAAATATGTTCTATGAATTAAAATTACTGTCTGTCCCTGGTGTTTATCAATATGGTTCTCACCTGATCACATATTTTAGCCTAATGTGTGAAGGGATACTATATTCAAAAATCTACTTGGCTTTACACTTAAAACAATTACACTGTATAGCAAGCAGTGCAAATCACAAATTTCAGAGAAGCATGCAAGACAAAACTTGCACAGTATGCTATGAACTAACCAAACAAGCCATGTATTAACCTGGAGAAATTTCAGTATTCTGTAAACAACTTGTTGCCGAAGCTCTTTAACTAAAAGCACTTTGGATTAAGAGGAAGTTATCATTTATGTTATGAAGTTCACTTTGGGACTGCAGCAGTGGGAAGGTTCAAAATTGAAGACTCCCGGCTAATACCTTATTCATGGGCCCCAGGCAGATTGCTACTGAAAGAGTGAGCATCTCTAGAACCCTGCACAGATACAAAATTTGTATCCGCATCTCATCTGCGGACCATGTTTGTGGATATCCACAGATTTGCAGGGCTCTAAGCATCTCCTGTCCCTCTCTAGTACCTCCAACACCCAAATTGGGAGTAGCATAGATGGCCTGTAGGGAAAACCGCCTAGAGGTGCAACTGGAGGGTGGGAGGGGAATCAAACTCAGATGTAGGGAAGAATGAGGCTGCAATCCTCAAAACTACAAGAGAGCTTCTGCAAACCCCCTGTGGTAGAGAAGGTGAGTTATTTAGAATGTCTGTACAAAAGTGACTCTCCTGATAGATTTGCATGCAACTTTTTAGACTTTGTTCTGAATCAAGCTCCTGTTGTAGTCAGTATGTCAGTAATAGTGATCGCTGCTTGGACTATTAACACGTGTCTGACTGGGAGTCAGTCCAAGATCAGAGGCTCACTCTGAAGAGTTTCCATTCTCTGACCAGGTCCCTATCTCGTGGTCATACCTGTTGCAGATGGCATTCTTAATATCCCTTTTTTGTGTCTTATTTTTCTAATCCAAGAAGGCAGACTCTCTGCTAGTGTGACTCTAAGTTGAATTTTATGTCTTATCCTGTTGAGTGATGCATTCCTTCCCCTGCTTCCTGTTCTAAATGTTTCTTCATACATCTGGGGTGCAGTCTCGGGTAGGTGACGTTCCAGGGTGCTGGATCTAAGGACGCTTTGTCAGGTGGTTTAAAACGATCCCTTCCCTGTTGCCTTCAAAAGAGCTTTACTATTTTCAGTGCAACCTAATGCCATTGCGTCCCACCTGATAACCAGTGCAAGGGATACAGGGGACTGCCTCAGCACTTCTAAAGAGGAGCTGAGGCAGCAGCAGTAAAAGAATCTGAAGGTCAGCTGAGAACTGAGGGCACTGGGCAGGAGACAGTCGGGCCCTGCAGGATGTGGTACTGGGACAAGTAGGGGACCACATGGATTGCTGAGGTGATGGGATGTGTCACACATGGGGCATTTAATCTGCTTGGACCAGCTTTGTTTTACCTACACCATATTGGTATATGAGGATTTCTTGGGATTGTGTGACACTGATAAGTGTTGGAGAGTTAAATCCTGCTTCCTTGCGAGTGAACTTTGCCACAAAATGGCTGAAGTCAGTTAATTTGGAGGCCTGGACCTGATGTACAACATCTTACTAGATTTGGAGTCTGTATTCCTTTCCAAAACTATCATTTTCAGACTTATACTGAAAAACTCTGTTTGTATTTGCTCTTAGGGGCTGTGTCCTTAAAGGGAAAGTGGTGTTTACTACAAACGATGATTCTCCCTATGACATAGCAGTGGTAGAACTAGAAGAAAGCTTACTCTGTTTTGCAAAACCTGTTTTAGCTACCAAGTTTGGTGCAGGTAACTATTCTTCTATTTACTGTCCTGCTTGTAGCTTCACTGGTCATGGGTTGGATGTCTCACTGGTAACTCAAACTCCAAGGGCCTGAATCCTCATCTGGAGAAGGGAAAGCTCAAAGAGCTGTGTGATTATGATTGTCTGGTTATGCTTACCTTTAGAACAAGGGTTCGCATGACCAAGATTTGCAGTTGCACCCAAGGCCAAGACTTGTGCTACAGTACTAAGGGAAGTGCTGCACTTGACACCTTAATTCAATGGTAGGAAGAGGTGGTACCCTGCAAGATGGCAAGCAAGACATTTAACAAATGTCCCCTCTTCTTTGGCTGGTCAAGTGACAGATCAAAAGACTGGGGTTATGTTTTAAAGTTAGTGGCCTGGGCAGCATTCCCTCCAAGTAAAACACTTTCCGGTGTCCAAAACTGTGAGTGCTATCACTAAGCATAGTGTGCTGCATCCTCACATGCAGTCATTATGTTACTGGGTTCAAGCCCTGTAAAGTGCAAAGTAGAGGAAGAGAACACAGATGTGACATACTTGATCTTCACTAAAGATTTGGTAAAATACCATATCAAATGTTTGCATCCACTTTTAGCTTGGATATGTATGCTGTCACGTGACCTGAAAACTGGCTGAAGGACAGTAAACAATAGAAGTTGTGGAGAGCGCATGTCTTATAGTTTATGGTAGGGATCAGTTTTACATCTGCAGGGCAGTGAAAACTTTCGTGTCTTGCCCACAGCATGGTGATGCGCTGTATACTACTGGAAGCAATCGATAGTATAATGTTAGTGTAGCAATCTGGAATAAACTGTGAAAACAAACATGAACAGAAGAAGAATAAAACGGGATCTAGGACAGTTACAAATCTGGACAGAAAATAAGAACTACAGATGTCCTTGCTGTGGCTGGTGGGGGAGATTTTCAAAGGTACAGATGGCAGTTAAGCACCTAATTGCCATTTGTGCTCTCGAAAATTTTCACCAGTGACTCTTCAAGTGTGGCTGACACCTCATTAGACAACAAACATTCTACGTCCAGATCACATTCTGCATTCTCTTTTTCCTGACTTCTTCCATTACATGTAACAATTGTCTAAGAGCTCATCCACTGCTGCTGCTTATTTACTACATGAATTCACCTTTTTATTTACCTCCCCTCCCCTGAACCACCTGATTCTTGCTGCTGTTTGTCTCCTCCATGCAGGAGAAGAAGTGAGTGTTGTTGGCTTTGGTGTGTTCGGCCAGAGCTGCGGCCCATCAGTGACATCAGGAATCTTGTCAGTTGTGATCACGGTGGATGACAAGCCAGTGATGCTTCAGACAACCTGTGCGATTCATGGTGGCTCGAGTGGGGGGGCCCTCTTCTCTACAAACAGCGGAAAGCTCCTTGGTAAATAAACTGAGATGAAGCATATTATCTCCCTTCCCCTCACCCCACCCCACCCCAAATGAGGGGAATGGCCAGTCATGTAATGAATCATCACGGCTGGATGCTGTTAGGTGCTTTCTCTGTTCCCCTGACCTCCCCGTTCAGGAGAGAGCTTTTTTCTTTTACAAAGATTATACACATTATGGCCACCATCACAGAAAAGGTAGGACAAGGGGATGATACTCGAAGCTTCTGTAATGCTTTCCATTTTAGGGTTTCAGAATGTGTCACAAAAATTAACCCTCACAATGCATATTTAGTGTAAGATTATTTCCTTCTTACCAATGGGAAGACTGAGATACAGATTGTCATGTAGGTCACACATACGCTCAACAGAGGTAGGAATAGGATCTGGGGCTCCTGATTCCCAGTCTTGTTTTACCCACTAGATGATACTTTGTCACTTGAACTTGATGCTCCCCTTTCATTGTGACTAGCTGAAACCTTTCTTATCAAGGGCCTAAGCAAGTTAATACACTCCGTTGAATACATAGTTGAAATCCTGGTTCTGGTAACCAGGAAAAAGATTTTTGGGGGTCTCTTGTTATCTCTCTGTGCATATCTCAAATGATACAGTTCAATACATTTGGTAGCCTTTAATGAAAGAGCTTGCATAGGACATTTTCACTGCATTTTCAGAGTAGGTGGGGGCAGGGGACTGTCCAAGGCTGGAGTAGCTACTGAAGTTCCAAGCCAGGACTGGGGAATGCTAGTAGAGTTGTGCTGGAAGAATTGCATGGATCCTGCCTGCACTGAGCTGGACTACATAACTATTCCTCTCATCCTCCACATCCCGAGGTTGCAATCTAGCAAAGCATGTGCTTAACTATAAGCATTTGAATACTTCTGTTGCGTAGGACTACTTACATCAAGTACTGAAGTGCTTTGCTGGAATGGGGCCTAAAATTGCCAGTCAGTCTCCCCACAAGAGGGGGGGAAATCAGGTGTGTTTGTTTTTGTTGTTGTTGTTTTTTTTAAATATATCGTGTTTAGTCAGTGTAGAGCCCATCAGAAAGGGTCTTGCAGGGCTGTTTGAAGTGCTGATGGCATGTGCTGGACAATGAGATGGAGCTAGGAGATCCTTCCCTGTATACTGTTATAACCACAAAACTCAATAGCAAATTGTTGCTGCTGTGGGATACCTGATTCTTTAGTATGACTATTTTATCAGTAGAAAGTGTGTATTCTGTCAAGGGCATGGTTCAGTACTCGTATCCTTTTTGTGTTAGCAATTCCCTTTTGGAAGCTAGAAAACAGAACACTATTTTCCCCTCAGTTATGTCCTCTTCAGAATGGCAAGCTTCTCTTATGAGGACACTACACTAGGACTTATACGAACTGGGCTCTATCCCCAGTTCTGGTATTGATTAAAATGTGTAGCATTTATGCTAAGGAACTTAAATATCTGTCTGTTTTCCCCATCTGAAAAAACGAAGTTAAAATACCTACCCACCTTTGCAAAATTCTTTCAGATGGTGCAGGTGTAAATAGCTATTTAAATGCTAACCATTATTATTTATCCTTCTTTGTATTTTGGAGTTTGAAATCTTACTCTGGCCTTTCTTTCTTTGCACTGATGGCCTAGATTTGGGGAGTAAGGTTGTCTGTGCTTGATACAAAGGAGCAAAGGACACGTTCTGCTTCTATCTAGGTCCTGCAATCTATCCGTTGTATGGAGACATGTTTTTAATGCTTAACTTCTTAAGCTACCAGAAAGTTCACAAACTTTGTCTCCTTTTTATTCTTCCCCCACATACAGGGATTGTGGCTAGCAACACAAAGGACAACAGTGTAGGAGCTACATACCCTCACCTGAACTACAGTGTTCCCATCACAGTTCTGCAGCCAGCAGTCTTGGAATACAGCCGTACTGGAGACCTGCATGGTTTCCAGGAGCTGAACAGGGCCAACGACAGAATCAGACTAGTGTGGCGGCTCCAAAGAAAGACCACAGAGGTACCACACTGCAAGCTATGAGGCTGCCCATCTCGGAGAAGAAAGGTAGAGCTCTCCTGTGAGCAGGATGTTCTAGGGGGAGGGTGACTTCACACAATTCAATGTTATATAATCTGTAGCTATATCGAATTTGCCATAAATTGTCCACGGTCTACCTGAAGGTATGGTGTCTCTGGGGCTGACCAGCTTTCCTGAAATCAGTGCTGTTAACATTGGCTCTGCCCAGTACAACAGCTGCTCATCTTTTGCTTTCACTCAGTTCAGCCAGAACCAATCAGAGTAGAACTATAGAAATGAACTGTAATGATTCCATGGGTCCCTGACCAGGCTGCATACTCTGCATTAGGTTAGTTCCCTGGATGATGGCATGCTCCTCTCCATCATTCCTGGAAGTGCTGTCCCCAGGAGTGCAATTCCCTTCAGCTGAAGACACTGACTGGCTATTCATTATTTGGATGTGCTGATGAGGCAAGAATAACTAATATGTATGGCCAGGCAATCAGTAAAGGGTGGTGACTTTCTGGAAGTACTTAGTGTCAGCAGGAGGGAGGTGAATGGCTCAGGATGCTGATGGTGCAAGGAACATAAGTAGGCGTCAAGGGGTTTTTTGGTTTTGTTTTTTGTCCCCTCTCCCCCCAATAACAAAATTGAAGCTATGGGATTGTATTGTGTGAGACGTCTAAAGTCCTATCTGGATGTAGCACTAACACAGATGGGAATAATCCTACAGTGGCAGAGGATCATCTGATGACTCTTCCATCTTTAATGTCTTCAGCTGTCGGTGAGAGAATTTGTAGTTCAGAGCACCTGTGTGTATTAGAGGCCCATAGGTGTCCTATGGATTAGCTAATCCTACACCATCTCTTATTGTTCAGCTCCTTCAGTGTTTTGGCAGTGAGTTATTTGGGGGTGGCGATGTTTTCTCTGTCTATTCAAGTCTGGTTTTAACTGCAGACTATGGAGTACTGGAAGGGAAATCAAAAGACTATTGCCCTGAAGAAAAGGCAAACATCAGGTCTAAATGTGAATGCATTTACCTTACACATTTCTACCATCTTTCTTTTCTCTTTTGCTACTTAAAATAAACTGTTGGTAAAGATTATGTTCCGACAAGAATTTTCAGTCTCTGGAAGTGTTCTCCTGTTCATGCCTTTACTTCCTATTACTGAAACTGATGCTACAAGTGTTGTTGTACCCCAAGGTGGACCAAAGCTACAAATTTTGGGAATGTCTGCATCTGGGGCTTTGAATCTGGTGGGGCCAGTTACTGGCAAAAGACTCCTCCAGATACAGCACTGATTCTTCCCTGTGGAAGTATGCAGAAGGAGAGTGCACATTGTAGAACACAGCTTTACTAATTGGGAGGGACTTCATGGTATTTGATCAAGTTTGCCCTATTATGTAATACACAAAAAAGCCTGAACTAAACATGTCTCCAAACACAGTGGAAACTTGTAGTGCCAAACTCCAATTTCATTTCTGCTCTCCAAGCTTTTATTTCTAAGAGCTAAATAATCTTGCCCAGAGATTAAATGCCTCCTGTGTCCACTGGGTGCCACTCATACTTCAGCACCTGCAGTGGGGACAAGATTTAGCAGCTTATCCTGATGCCAGTACTATTCATGTATTGTTTGTTTGTTTGTCAGTCAGTCAGGGAAGGGTACCCCTACTCGCCGTAGAAATCCTGCTTGCGGTTGCACTGGTACAACTGTCTGATTTGTGCATGACAGCAGGACCCTATTTCCTGATTAAACACACAAGAATGTGAACTTGGCCGCTAGTGATCTATTAGAAACTGAGCAAATTCATCAAATATGATGACTTAGAGGAGAGAGCCTCCGGCTGGCCTGATGAAGTGAAGCAGCGAAGCGTGCTCTTATGACCAACCCTCTATTCAAAGGCACTGGAGTAAAACTATTGAAGACTTTGACACTGGAGATGGGCCTGAGGTTCTTAGTTTGGATCTGGTTACAAAGTTCATGACTGTTCAGATCCAGGGTTTATGCTTCTAATTAAAGCAGTGTGTACACTCATGGGAGGGAGGGAATGCGTTGAAGTGTCTGATATAAAGGCTGGAAAGTCTGCACTGCAGAACCATTGTCTCTTGTCATTGCTGTGTCTGAAGTGTATTAGTAGAGTTCAGTTATTTGACTTATGATTGCAGCAAAACCTTTTCCAGTTGGGGGTTGTTGCTGTCATTGGATAGTATCTCTGACCTCATCTAATTCTCCCCCCACTGTAGCAGGGGCTGTGCATACAACAAAGTTGTTTGGAAGCAGACAGCTGCTTGTTAACTTATGATGAAATAAAGCTGGGTCATGCCAGCTGTTCCTACTGACTTCACGTACTACACAGTGGTGCGCACTCTGCAGTTGATTGTCTATGCAACTCTTAACTTTGGTTGCACAGGTTGGCCTAAGGTGGTAACGAGGCAGCAGGAAGCTGTATATTCTTGTTGTAGAATCCTTCCTCTCCTCTTCCAGATTGTGTACTATAGATCATCTGCCTGAAAGAAAAGGGGCAGCTTCCTATGATATCACTCATTGCTGACACTCCACTCCACTCCAATCTGAATTATCTGCTTGTGGGGATGTAGACAGATGGGTGTAAAAGCAATACTGAATCTATTGCTGTGATGCAGCTGGACTAAATTGGCTGCTTTTGTGGCTAGGTCCTATAGCAAGTTCGTATGCAGCCCGTTTATCTCTCAGCCTCCTGGAGTCACCTTGAGAAATATCCACTTGGGGCTTGATAGCCCTTAAGAAATGAAGACCTTAGTGTACAGCTGCTTTTTTTCTTTTTTTTTTTTTTTTGGCAGTTCATAAATGATCTGGTTTTTCTGTCACTTGAGCAATAAATATCTGACTTCAGCTCATTCTTCCTCTGTCATGCAGAAGAGGAATGAGTTTGTTTAAACAACAAATGTTCCTGGAGAAAAAAGGAATGTTCCTGAGCAGCATAGATGGCCTAGCCGTAGGCAGTCCTTTAAATCTTTCACAAGCAGAGAAGGGTAGATGCTGTCCAACCACAATGCTGGAGAGATTTGCATGCCTGAAAATAAAATCTGGACATTGCTTGCAATGTTCTTTTGATTTAATGAGCATTAACTTGCATTCATTCAGCAATCTCTGGTTGTAAAGTGGTTCTTGGCTGGGACAGTTATCATACGGTTACTGTACAGTTTGTGTAACTGTATGCCTGACTTAATTGCTTGGACAAATCAGGTAGTTAATAGAATCGTAGGACTGGAAAGGACATCAAGAGGTCTTCTAGTTCAGTCCCCTACACCCAAGGCAGGACTAAGACAATCCCTGACACGTGTTTGTCTAACCTGCTCTTAAAAATCTCCAATGATGGAGATTCCGCAACCTCCCTGGGTAATTTATTCCAGCGCTTAACTATCCTGACAGCTAGGAAGTTTTTCCTAATGTCCAACATCAACTGCCCTTGCTGCAATTTAAGCCCACTGCTTCTTGTGCTATCCTCAGAGGTTAGAGAACAAGTTTTGTCCCTCCTCTTGTAACAACCCTTTATTTACTTTGAAAACTGTTATGTCCCCCCTCTGTTTTCTCTTCTCCAGACTAAACAAACCCAATTTTTTCAGTATTCCCTCATAGGTTTTCTAGGACTTTCTCCCATTTGTCCACCTCTTTCCTGAAATGTGGTGCCCAGAATTGGATGCAATACTCCAGTTGAAGCCTAATCAGCACAGAGTAGTGGCAGAATTACTTCTCGTGTCTTGCTTACAACACTCCTGATAATAAATCCCAGAATGATGTTTGCTCTTTTTTTTTTTTTTTGCGCGCGCAACATTGTTACACTGTTCACACACACTTAGCTTGTGCTCCACTATGACCCCCAGATCTTTCTGCAGTACTCCTTTCTAGGCAGTCATTTGCCATTTTGTATATGTGTAACTGATTGTTCCTTCTTAAGCGGAGTATTTTGCATTTGTCCTTCTTGAGTTTCATCTGTTCTTCAGACCATTTCTCCAGTTTGTCCAGGTCATTTTGAATTTTAATCCTATCCTCCAAAGCACTTGCAACCCCTCCCAGTTTGGTATTGTCCACAGACTTTATAAGTGTACTCTCTATGCCATTATCTAAATCATTGATGAAGATATTGAATAGAGCTGGACCTAGAACTTATCCCTGCGGGACCCCACTTGATATGCCCTTTCAGCTTGACTGTGAACCACCGATAACTACTTTCAACCTTTTATGCACCCACCTTATAGTAGCTCTATCTAGTTTGTTTATGAGAAGGACATGCGAGACAGTATCAAAAGCCTTACTAAAATCAAGGTAATAGTACATTCAGATGTATCTAGTCATTTGTGGTAATTGCAGGCCACTGCATGCCTCAAGCGAGTGCGAACTGGGTTCCTATTGCTTCTCTGTACTGGATTTAATTTGTATTCCTTGAGCCTCTGGGTGCAGAGGCCTGGAATGGCAGATGCTTGGTCTTGGATTGATCAACACTGGCACTTCTGGGTTCCAGAGGAGTTCTACCCAGTCCCCTTCAGGCAGAAGGATTAGTGGGGAGAGGGGGCTCAGGGAGGCTATTTGAGTGTGGGGTTGGTTTTTTTTGGAGAGGGAGGGAGAATGTTGGGCCTTGACTATTACTGAGAAAAATGGAACTAGACAGTGGAAGACTCATATCCTTGAAATCCAAAAAAGATTTGTAAAGTTTTTTTTTCTTCTCAGAAGCGGTAAAATAAAATTCCTTTCTAATCAATTTGTCTTATATTTACTAAGCAATCTTTAAACCTTCTCTTCTTCACCCTGCTTCCCTCTGCTACCCAAAATCTTGAACTAAATACAACTTCTCTTGCACTATTGAAATAAGCAAAGCTTTTCCGTAGTACTGCACAATTCCTAACGTTTATAGTTAGGCACTGAGTTGTTTCCAATCACAATGTAGTTTTAAGGTCTTGTAGTTTAAGTTGCTTGTGTTCCTCTCTACAAGAGATACTCTCTTTAAAAAGGAAGTCTTCTCTAGCCCCATCTCTCCCTTCCCTAAGAAGGAAGGGTAATCGGTTTTTGCATGCTGATGGGTATGCATACATAGTCACCAGTACCATTTGCTGCCTTTAATTCAGAGAAGGGAAATCTAAATAGAAGCCAAAATTTATTTTTTAACTAGGTTTCCTTACAACCTCCACTTATTGAAATGTCAGGTGCATCCCTTTCAGCATGACTTATGTTACTTTGTCTCTTATAATCCTAGAAACTAACACCATCACTGTCCTGTTCCTGTAGACTAGACTTTTTTTTTCCCCCCCTCATATCTTTTGAATTTGTACTTTCCAGTGTCCATCTCCTAGAAGGTGCACATCTTTATGCAGGTACAGGAGCTCCGGATTTTGTGAATCATTCCGGCTCCCCTGCTACTCAATTCCAACAACACTCTCTCTCCAGGCTGAAAAGAGGTCCATGTATTCTATCACTTCTATCCAATAACATTTCCAGTGTGACTTTTTCTGAAGTCAACAGACACATCAGAATACCTCAGATCCACACGCTGAGGTGCAGGGAGGAACAGCTGGGTTGTGGCACTGTAGTGTTTCAAGCTTCCTGGTTCATGTAGCTGTGTTCCTGCTGTTGCTTCTGGCTCTAACGCTCAAGCTGTGTCCCTAGCATCCACATTTACTTGCTGGCTGGAGCCAAAGATGGTACCTAAATGGCTGGGCAAACGCAGCCCTGACCGAGAGCTCTGGAAAACCCCTCTTCCAGCATTCACCTGGCTCTGCCCCCTTTGTACAATCTTTGAGTGCCAGTGGGATGCTATGGGTGTGGCAGTGGCTATAGAGTCCATAAATGTGTATCTGTTCCAGGTGTAGGAGAACTTTTTGTTTAGCTGAACTATGGTGAAGGCTTATCCTCTGTAGGGCAGATGGGACAGCCCTGACCTTCTCCCATGTTAGCTTTGCACCACTCTCCATGCTGACTGCACAGCAGCTACATGTGATATACACAAGTGTAACTAAGGGTACGTCTATACTTCCTGGTCCGGATGTAAGCGATCGATCTTCTGGGATCGATTTTATTGCATCTTGTCTAGACGCGATAAATCAATCCCGGATTGATCCCGGAAGTGCTTGCCGTCGACGCCAGTACTCCAGCTCAGCGAGAGGAGTACGCGGCATCGAGGGGGGAGCCTGCCTGCAGCGTCTGGACCCGCGGTAAGTTCGAACTAAGGTACTTCGAATTCGTAGCTGAATTTGCGTACCTTAGTTCGAAGTGGGGGGTTAGTGGGGACCAGGCCT